TTTATCGCAAAACAGCCGAGCATACAAGAAGACCAGGTGATGGCATCAGTTGCGCTTGAATTGGACGTGAAACAGCTTCTGTGTAGTTCAATCAGAGCTCTCCCGATTCCTTCTGTGAACATTCAGGAGCACACCAAACTCGACCCTCTTTTGCAAAACGTTATTGGTTTTTTAAACACAAAGTGCCCAGACTGGATTACTGACACACGCCTTAAAGTTTTATTGTCGACGTGACTCGATAGCACTGGTTGGTGTTTGTTATGCCCGGTGAACGGGTGGTTGTTCCGAAGTTCCTGCAGGCAAGAGTAATAAGATATTTGCACGTAAATCACCCCGGAATATCACGGATGAATGCTTTGTCCAAAAGTTACGTATACTGGCGTTTTATCCACAACGCTATCCATGATTGTGTCGCCACATGTAACCATTATTCATCAGCTGCGAAGCTTCCAAGCGAAATCATTAACCCTGGATACCTTGGAAGAGAATTCACCTTAATTTCGCTGGTCCAGTGCGAGTCCAGCGTAGTTTGGTTGTGGTTGATTCGTATGCCGAGTGGCCGACGTATACCTGATGGACACAAGTACGACAGCCACTATAAGAGGAAAACTACAACCGTTTATTTTCACATTTCGGTTCACCGAGCACCTTTGTTTCCTATAACCGTTCGCAATTTATCTCCAAAGATTTTTGTGCTTTCTGCCAGCCTAATGGTATCAAGCACTGCCGGTCGCCTCCGGGGCATCCCCGACCCAACGGGCAAGCAGAAAGATTCGTGGGTACCCTCAAATTTTCACTTCACAACTGCGGAAGGAAGGACCGACAGAAGGGATCATACAGCTGTTCCTGTTAACTTATCGGGCTACGCCTAACCCCGCTGTATCAGGCGGCAGGTCCCCAGCGGAAGCCATGTTCGGATGGTGTCCATCATACTTCGCAGGCTATCCCGAACACGCGAATCGTTGCAGCGAGAAGAACAAGCTGGGTTTCGCCCTGGTCGCGGCTGCATCGATCAAATCTTCACACTTCGCCAGATCCTCGAGCTCCGCCATGTGTATCAGAGGCCAACGATTGCTGTGTTCCTGGATATCCGTGCAGCCTTCGATTCTGTCGATCGTACAGTACTGTGGCAGTGCCTTCTGAGGAATGGTGTCCCCGAGAAGTTCGTCTCCATACTGCGCGCTCTATACAGTCTGACCTCGGGCAGGGTTAGGGTTTATGGCATGCTTTCGCCTACCTTTGTGGTCTCCAGTGGAGTTCGACAAGGATGCCCTATCTCTCCGTTCCTATTCAACTTTGCCATTGAGGATGTCCTGAAGAACGCTCTGAGCGATTCGTTGAACGCTGGCGTTGAGCTCCTCCAGGGTAGTCGAGTTGTTGATTTGGATTATGCTGATGATATCGTCTTGCTAGGTGACGATCCACAGGTCGTCCAACTTGCATTAAACCGCTTGACGATTGAAGCATCAAAGTATGGTATGTGCTTTTCGCCATCCAAATGCAAGGCTCTCCTTCAAGACTGGCAGGTGCCTCTGCCTGCACTCACGCTTGCTGGTGAGACACTGGAGGTTGTGGAGAGCTTTGTCTACTTGGGAAGTTGCATCACTGCTGGCGGGGCTGTTGGAGACGAGATTTCGATGCGCATCTCGAAAGCACGCCTCGCTTTTTCTAGGCTGAGGCATTTGTGGCGTCGCCACGACATTCGTCTCTCCATCAAAGGGCGGGTCTATTGTGCAACTGTTCGTGCTGTACTGTTGTACGGATGCGAGACCTGGCCCATTCGTAAAGATGACTTGCGCAGGCTATCCGTCTTCGAGCACCGCTGTCTGCGGTCCATTGCCCGTGTGTGGTGGCAGCACCACGTAAGCAATGTGGAAGTTAGACAGCGTGTCTTGGGACGTGGAAGCCACTCGCTCGAGGAGCTCATCTCACTGCATCAACTGCGGTGGTTGGGACACGTATTGCGCATGCCTGTCCAGCGTTACCCCCGTCGTGCGTTGTTTGCACTTGCTGGACAGGGCTGGAAGAGACGGTCTGGTGGACAGCCTACAACATGGAGAAGCCGCATGAAAAAGTTGACGAAACAATTGGCCTCGGCCGGTTGTTGTCGACTACCTGGTTGGGGTCCGAGAGGCGAGGATACTTGCTGGTTGAAAACCTTGGAAGTTATGGCTCAAGATCGATGTCAATGGCGGACGTGTGCATCAGTGTGTTGCGGTGTCCCTTCCTCCTCCCCCTAAAAACGAACAAACTGAAAAAAAAATTTCAAAAACTGTGAGTGGTAAACTTGACAAAAAAAGCATTTCTTGTTGCTCTTTTCTTATTATTCATATTGTTTTCCTATTCAGCCATGATTCCGATGGCACAATATCTGTACCACAGATTGTGTATAATATATATATATATATATATATATATATATATATATATATATATGTTCGGATGTGAGATACGTCTTTCAATTGATGCAACACGCCCTAAGGTTGCGCAACGGTCACTCGCGTCAGGTGTGAGCAGAAGTTTTCTACCAAGGGAGCCTGGGTACGCGTTGGATACAAGGCCGAACCACCAAACCTGGCAACATGCAGTGGTACAGAAAGAAAAGGCAATGTGCGGTACGAGGTGTCTATCACGACCGTTGTCTATCTTGGGGCATCTTAATCAGTTGCGCAAACGACGAATCGAACACACAGTCACTTCTACTTTCGCGTTGCCGTTCGATATACTGCTGGACACGTTTAAACTACCAAAAACTGTGGGTCTTAGTGAGCCGACGGAAACGCGCACAGAGCTATGCCACGGAGTCACTCAGTGACCTATGCGGACAACTAAACCGGTCCGACGTTTACAGGTGAACCCAGCACTTCATTCGTATGAGTCTGAAGAACGAGTTTTCAAAGGGGAAGATATTACACCAGGCGCTCCGGTGCCTCAAAACTACAATGTCGTCCCACGCACCTGAACGTGAACTTCACTCCCACCCAATGGTCTACTGTGGTTCACATGCATCAGGCCGCCGCCTGTCTGATACACACTCTTACCTTAAGCTATGTTGTCGGCTGTCTTTCCTGTTTCATGTGACTTGAGATCTGGTCAGTGTACTGTCCGGTGCGGTGAAACTCTGTTCTGACAGCTCAACACCCCATTAACCGCAAGTATAACTGGTACAGTGAACTCTAATAGTAAAAATCAAGTGTATTTACCAAGCATTAATGGTGTGGTCTTGGATCCAGAAGTCCTAGTAACATTGTGCATGCTTCATGTCTATCGATCCCGATGCTCCACATACGTTCCCACTTAGCTTACCGATGAGTATCGGAGTTACCCCTTGCTACAACATTGACTGACTTCTGGGTGTAGTTTTAGTATACACTACTTGCCGAAGCAGACGTTTATCAGTCGTACCATGGTCATGATCTAGCCAGTGTAGGGGATTCCTGTTCCACTCACACTCCGGTTCGACATCCGGTGACCTGTTACGAAACAGCAAGTGGCCAACCCCAATCTCCCTCCTTGCGTGCTCCCTTTAGATATAAGCAACGCGCCACAGACACGGAGGCCGTGTTCCTGGTCCACCTGATGTCTCCGGCCCTACTACCATATCATATGCTCTCCTTTTTAATGCTCATGGTCCCCGACGTCTACATATGTGGGACAGTCTTTACAGAGGCACATGCGTTTTGGCAATGCTTGCGCCAACTGTTTTTTTGATTCGAACACAAGAGATAATGCCGCCACACATATATAGAAATCCAGCAACTACTCCGAGCGGTGGTTACGTGCCGGCGAAAACTTTCCATATGTAGGCTCGTAGCCGAAAGGTAACAAGGTCTTGTAATCTGACGGCACGGATTCGAGCGTGCGTAGAGACAGCGCGACCCTCGAAATATCCTTAGCCCCGCGTGCGACCGGTGGTGGTTGAGGGGCAGCGAAGCCTCGGTGCTGCGTACCGGCGTACTGCTGATGCCTTCCGTATGTTGACTTTGTCATGTGACATTGGTTTACATTTTAAGATTGCACTGCATGTACTTAAGCCAACTTCTCTGGACCGGATGATATCCGGTCTCTGTTGCTCTGCCTATCAGCCACATTTCTTCATGCGTCAGAAGTAGTTACACGTAGTCCATTTCTGCTTGGACCTGTCCGGCTCCAGGTGTTTGTGACTAGCTGTTGCGCCAGTAACTAGCGCACAGATGACATGGAGTATGTTGCATTTTCTTTGTCCGATGTCCCTGACGTCCAAAATATTCGCTGATTCCAGTTCCCCCTCCATGGTGCATTATCGGAATGTACCCCGACTTCTTCTAGTAGGCAAATGTACGAAGCCATTTATAGTCGCACACGGGCTTAATGTACATCACTTGTTTTGATATTTGTTATACTTTTAATGGGACCATGATGTGTTCAAACAAGAACTTACTACCAAACTGTATCCACAATACCGCCTTTGCCCCGTTTTCTGATTGTTGAAGTATCATTCTCACTTGTTTTACTTTTTATTTTACCTGTCTGGCTTGTGTTGTGGCTGATCGTTCACTCCTCTTAGGTACCTAAAGCACATTGTCGGCTTGACTTGGCTTGGTCGTGACCCCATTGTTGTCCTGTGTAGTCGTCATATCTTTCTGCTTTTGCGCAGTCGAAAGTGTTGAACTCAGAGGACTGTAATTGACCCGCTTATTTTTGAGTAAATAGCTTCGGCGCAAAGTGAGCGATCAATTAATCAAATGGACGCGCGTGTCACCATGTGCCAAAATGCAAAGTGGATGTATAACATTGCAAATGCAATGCTTTTCCAGCCCAGGTTAAATATTCTATGCAGTGTAGTTGGGTATCCCAAATGGGGCTTTGTTATGTAAGAAAAGCGCACATCTTTGCGTTTTCTTCGTTATCATTTTATCCTTTTTAGTACTCAATTCTGATTGGGTTTGCAGCAATCCACCGTTTTCTATTACGTTTTAATTCCAGTGTAACTTTCAACTTCCACCTTCCCCCCCTTCCAGACGAACGACCACATAAGTGCAATCAATGTGGGAAATCTTTTCCCCTAATAACAAGTCTCCAAGCCCACGAAAAGACGGTTCACTTGAGTGAGTTGAATGCGTCGTCATTCTGTCCCAGCATTTTTTGCTTTGTTGTACCGTACCACCGGAATGTGCAGTTGGATAACTTCAGATTGCTCGGAATCTGTGCAATCTCCGATACTTTCTTCAATATGTGCCATCAGCCTCTCTGATTAACGCTGTGCTTCACAGGTTGCAGCAATGCGATACAGGTGCGATTAATGTAATCATGCTTCCCCATTATTCATTTTTGCAGAGTTTAGAAATATTTACACGAATATTTTCTGTCTGCATATTATTACCGTTGATTCGCACTGAATGACGGTACGAGTTACCAACGCATTCCGAAACTACCAAGCTCGTTTTAAGGACGACTGAGTTTGGTGCTTTGGCCCAGCTTTGACAAAAATAGATATATGTGTTAAACTGATGACAAATTATTTTTACTATCAGGTCCTTTTTCCAAACTAAGAATGAAACCGATGCAAATGTTTTGTGTAAGTATACGTACGTAGCACCATAATCTCAGCAGAACGATATTTTCTGATGTCTATTACAAAACTCTGCAGTCCAGTTACCCGAGTCATTTTCGTATGGATATCGCCAGGGTCTCAAATTCAATGCACCGCACACGGTTGCACTCGGATCACAGATCGTTCAGTGTTTCGCAACCTATTTTTGTACCTCTGGCATAACCGATGCCTTGTCGAAATCCTTGTGAGACCTGGTCAACGAAGTGTTGATGGAACCGATAAAATGTTTGTAATGGGTTCACCAACTGGTCGCATTACAAAACAAGGTTGAATCTATACCGATTGCCAATACAAAATAAACGTATACTTGTTGGTAGATTCCCACTATATTCTATCGATGAATTGATAGTCAAACTTTCATATGGCAGGCTCTTCTCGAAGTTTCATATTCGCAGTGCAGGTTTCACATGCAGCTTGAACCACATTGCCGACATTTTTACTCTGTTCCTATCCAATCTCAGAGCATGTGTTGTGTCTTTGTTATTAGTCCCGTTGTGCATGAGGAAAACCTTAACAACGTATTGCAAACGCTGAGTGACTTATATTTATCGCGACGAAACTGGACTCTAACGTGGTGCGACGGTTTGTGTGCCACATTGATCCACTGAGCTATGCTGGGTGGTGCATTTTTAACCTTCAGAGCCACTTATATCGGCCAGTGGTTAGAGACCAGACAAACTCAGTCTCCTGGCCCTCCGGGTTGGAATGAGGGTAGCTCCATACAACAACCGGCTCTCTGTAGTCCAGTGTCAAAGCTTCGCTGGCTTTCGGCAGATTTTTTGTACCAAAAGTTTCGCTTGAGGACCCTAATCATTCTCCCATCTTAGTTTGGACAACCTGCCAGTATTCTTCCTACACAATGTAACACCACGACTTTCCCTTCTACTAACCTATTGATGCTCTGTTCGTCGCAGATAGTCAACGGCGCCCTATCTGCTTTAACGTGCAAGTTAGATAGAGCTTTGGATGCTACTTTTCAGACCTTCCCGTCTTCTTATTCCCCCTCTTGGGCCGTTTTCATCTTCATTGTCCCCTTTCAACTTCACTCTTATCCCATGTTTTCAATCCCCCAATTCTTGGCCGTTACCCACCTTGGTTCCATAGTTGCTTGTCTTCTGGTTTCAGCTCACACATTGACAGGGCGTCGCTCCATTCCGGTAGACAACTCCATGCTCAACCAAATGGACAACGTCCGTTCATCCGTTTCCCTTTGGAGTCCTCTATCCTCGCTGTTATAGATGAGGGAACGCCGCCTCTGGTCCGATTGCGTAACGCCTGATAAGATTGTCGCTGGCACAGCTGGAGCACGCCTGTGATAACAGCCTGGACCGCTGACCAGTCGAACGGACTTGCGTTGACCTGATGGCGTTAGCTTAGCCGGGGTACGCGCTGGTGCGACGGAAATTGAACGGGCGTGAGAACGATCCTAGCCGCACGTATTCGGGTGGACGCTGAGCCCTCGGAACGGACGCACACGAGAGGGGGTTCGGTAGACGCGCAATAGTGACTTAGGCGCGAAAGCTGGCCAGCTAACGACTCACACAAAATCACGTGACCCGACCGACTCCCAAGTAAGGCGAAGAGGAAAGAAAGACAGGCGGTCCTATCTAGACTCTTTTACGACCAACAAAGGGCGAATCACAGCCAATGCTGTGGGTTATTACGTTAGGGAAAACAGTCACCACGAAGAAGTGGTAGTTTGCAGATGACCATTGTCCAAAGGTGCCCAGTTGGGCAGCGTCTCAGAGTGGCTGAGCGCTGCTGCGTTGTGGGGAGGAATTGAGCCTCGCTTTCCACACCCATTCTGCCGGGGTTTCTGGCGCGTTTCTGCGAGAATATTTGATGTGCCCGCAACACTCGCTAAGACTGGCATGCCTCAACGTGCGCACCTTGATACAGATTGGCCAACAGACAGCACTTGCCCAAACACTCGGGACCCTATCGATCGATATTGTTGTTTAACGGAAACCTGTCTGCAAGCTTCGAGCTCCGTGCTTACTCTGCGAGTCCCCACATGCGATAGTGGCGGCACATTCTCATTGCGCCTGTCTGGGGATGATGCAGCTTCAAATGCCGGTCAAGCTGGCGTCTGCATTGTTTTGAGTCCCCGGGCTGAAGCTGCTCTGGTCGACTGGATCCCAATGAACAGCCGGATGTGCGCCGTTAAATTGGCTGGCTCTTTCCAGGCAGGACTGATTCGGTGGAAGACGATTTTTGTCACTAACTTAATGATCTCCTTCGTCACAGAAATAGTGCGGATACTGCGGTGCTTTCTGGTGGTCTAAAGGCCGAAGTCAGAAAACTGTCCTCTGATGAGCTTCATCTGATCGGCCAACATTGTGTAGGCTCCCGTAATGATAACGGTGAGCAGTTGCTACACCTGTGTAAACATGCAATGACTTTCTGCACAACATCCGCAGAAGAGTGACTTGGTGCCCACCAGCCATGGATTCAAATCGATCATATCGCGAAGGGTTACCGCTGGAGAAACTGTGTCCAAAACTCGCTCGATTTGGGGCATGAGCTGTGCGGACCTTCAGGTGCGTTTCGGCGGATATCCGCAATGTAGCTGTGAGCGGACAGACACCAGCCCATTGTGGGAGGCAAGTGTTCTGACTGAGTATCAGACTACGCTGTCATCCTGGCTGAGTAAGCGCCCACTGAACATCGTAGAAGATCACTAGTTGCATATTCGTCAGACGTTACTAACAGCAGGCACGTCTTCATGTGGCAAATCAAATTGCCAACCTGAACATTAGGTCTCTACACAGTCACTGTAACTTATGGATGCTCGCCGACATATTCCGGCTGGAAACGAATACTATGAGACTCGCAAATCTTCATGTGCTTATCTGAATAGGGACTACGAAGCCTCGTGGTCTCATCGTGCATCGGCAATGGAAACAGCCGCTGCCTTTGTTAGTCGTCCTAACTTATTCCGTCTGATAACAGAAACAGGCAGCAGGAGACCTGGTGTTAACGAGGCCATACGCGACGAAAGTGGACAGCCGATCCACTGCTTGTCAGCACGCAGTGTTGAGCCGAACACTTTGCAGGGCAGTTTAACCAATCTCACTTATCGCTTTCTTTTTCGGGCATTGAGTGCCCTTCTGCCTAAGCCGTGTCCATTGATCCGCCCTCACGCGCTGAAGTCGAGCGTGAAATCAGACGACTGAAATTGCAGAAGGCCGTACGGATAGATACAATTCCTCCAGCCCTCTTCATATTCGTGGGACCTGTTGTTGTAAATGATTTACACGAGTTGCCAGGGAAACTTTGATAACAGGAAACTATCCCGACAGATTAGAGCCGCTGAATCATAGTTCCAATTTTCAAGGGAGACTCCAGCTTCTTAATGCGGCAACCATAGTGGGATCAGTCTGATCTCAATTGCTTCTAAATCGCTTGCGTGTCATTTTCTACTTTCATTCTCAAAACCCAGATTTGTGAAGAGGAAGCCGGGTTCCCTCGAAGTCGGGGCTTCATCGACCACATCATCATTTTGCGTTAATTATTGGAGCGCAGCGATGTTTACTGGCCACCCACCGTTTTGGTGTTTCCTGGTGTAAAAGGTATCTTTGTATTTTTTTATTGATGTGCTCTTTGGGACTATCTACTGAGGAAAATATGCCCATTAACTACGTAAAATTTTTGTGGGCGCTGTACGCGCATAGTTCGGGCAGAGTGGGGGTTTATGGCAAGCTTTCTTCGCCCTTCAATATCTCCGGTGGTGTGAGACAAGGTTGCCTGCTGTCACCTCTCCTCTTTCGCCATTGCCGAAGTCATAGAAACGGCCTTCACTGGACACTACCTAGAAGGTGTGGAGCTACTTCCTGGTGAGCGACTTCTTGACTTGGAGTATGCGGACGATGTTGTCCTTATCTGTGACAGCTCCGAAAGGTGTCAAGCAACGCTTGACCGCTTAACACTGGCTGTCAGTCGTTTTGGGCTGTGCTTTGCTCCACCGAAATTCAAAGTCCTCCAAGATTGGCATTGACCCACCCTTGCATTGACCGTTGGTGGTGACCAGTTAGTAGTCATTCAGGAACTTAAATACTTAGGCAGCTATATTAGCGCCCGTGGGATCGAAGATGAGATTGCGAATCGTATAGCAAAAGCTCGAGGTGCTTTTGTCGTTTTCAACTACCTGTGACGCCGACGCAACATCACTTTCTTCGTGATAAGTAGTGTTTGTAATGCAGGCGTCCGTTCAGCCCTGTTATACGGTTGTGGAAGCTTGCCTATCAGATCTTCATACATAAGGAGTCTCCTCGCGTTCGATCATCGCTGCCTTCGCAGCTTAGCTCATGTCTGGTGGAAGCACCCCATGAGCAACGAACGTGTTAGGCATCGCGTATTTGGTGCATGAAGTGCGAGTGGACAGCTCAGCACCGTTGTATCACACACCATGCTCCGATGCCGGGGCCACATTGAGCAGCCAGCACACCGTGTTCTGCGTCGTGCATTGTTTGCCCGCCGAGCGTGTGGATGCCA